GATTGGGGAAGAGGAGGGTAATTTTTCTTTTTAAACTCTCTTATTTTTACAACGAATAGCCCGCTCACAGGTATTTCACACCAAAACCTATGAGAAACCCTCAGTCTAGGAAAACACGCAGATTTAAAAACCCGCCATTCCATTTAAGTATAAGAATGAGAAATGTCATAATGATTGGTCAAGCAGTTTACTCATAAAAGCCACACAAACGAATAAACTCAGAATTAGCAAGAAATATGAATATGAAGGGAGATCTATGTTCAGCAGTAGATACTGTTGCCTTGATGTGATAGTGTGGACAACGATGGATAAAACAAAAAATTAATCGATGATCCATGTTTTTTTAGATTTTTTTCTTAAAGTATCTAAAGGTACTTAGGTAAAACCGCAATAGAAGTAAAAGCTACAAAATATCGTGCTACAACTTACGATAATCTTTGTTATATATTAGTCACGGCTACGGCAAGCCTAATGATTGATAAACTATATTTACATTTTTAAACCAACAGATATAAATATATTACGATTACGTTAATGACAAATATATAATTATACATGTAATGTATCTAGTAATCTTTGCAAACAATGTAACTATGCGGTAAATTCCTTACGAAATATGATAAGTTATGTGAATCCCTCGACATAAGCACATTGCGCTTTGAGATTTCTTAAATCAGGCGATGAACGCCTCAGTGAGTTATTGAACCTTTACATAGATATAATATTATATTGTAGTTATATTATCACTATCAGATTGTACTAGACTGTCCTTCTGTTGGACAAAGTTCTCTTCTCTTCAAAAGAAGGAATGAATATTGATGACAACGGTGGGTCGATGAACTCAGACAATTTTAATAACATGTCCAGATTTCCTCATGATATTTTCCTACAGAAAGTCAATGGTTCCTAAACAAATTCGAAAATTACATGACGTTACTAGGAAAAGTCACATTGGTATTTGCCTCGAAATGAGGATAGACAGAACTTTACATTAAAACATCGTTTTCCACGTCCATAGAATATACATGAGAGATACGAGAGTGCATTTTCTATGCTTATTTATTTAGTTACATACACTAGCTTTCATTTATTTACATTCTTGAATTTAAATGTAGATAATTTTGGTGCAGAGCATCAAGAACGATCATTTGCCTTATTAGGACTGATTTTTCCAACGCCAGTTCAATTTTATCAGAGGAATAAGTTTTAATCGTTGACAATTTTTCCGTACTCAAAACTGTCAACTGTCAATATTTTTTCTACAATTGAGAATTAACTGATGATTGTAAAATCGGCCCTTAGTTGGAGTAAAGCTAGGAAGAAAGGTAAATAAGCATATTATAACTTTTCTATGATTTTATTACTGCTAATCAATCCAAAGGTTGCCCTAGGCCGCTATATTGCGATCTTTCTTTTCATATCTTTGTTTCTTTTTTATGGTGTATATAATTAATATTTTTTATTATATTACACATAGTCTTGGTCAAAAAATTTTACAGCCATTTTTAAAGCAAGCTAATAAAAATTTCTTAATATCACGAAACAAGACTAAGTACATTAAGAGTGACTAGTATTAGCTCTCAGTCTACAGTCTCAATGACCTGAAATGTAGAAATATCGGTTCTCCTAACTCGAGAGATATCTCGAGAAGACGAGACGTAGTCAATATGAAGATAAACTACGTATATTTGTTTCGCAACAGTAGTGTAACTTATTTAAAACGATCAAAACACTGATAAATGATCCTTTATTGTTAATCTAGATTTTTGGTTTGTAAGCTGTACAGGAACAAACTTAATTAGTACCGTAAAACGGGGCGAATTCTTCGAGGGGTGAACAGGAATAGAGTTGATAAGTATTAGAATATTTTCCAACATTTATCCACCCCTCTTCTGTATCTATTCACCCCTTGAATTCTATTCACCCCGTTTTAATGAACTATACACTGGTTTCATACATTTCTGTTTTCAATTATTTATTTGAAAAATCAAATTATTTATTAGTAAAAACTCTCGGTAATGAACTGTGAGGGTAATTATAATAAATATACAAAGTCTATCAACGAATTTGATTCATGCGTCTGCCGCAGCTTATCGATGCCAAAAAATCCTAATAACAATACAGCTATTTACTTTTTTTCCTGGTATTTTTTCAACTACCTAGATTAAGCTGAATTTAAAATAAAGAGACTGCCCTCTGCCCTCCGCTTAAAGAGATATCACATTCGCAACTCCATCGTCAGATAACTAAAGTAAATGTTTAATAGATTTTATTATATATTTCGTTTTCGAATCATCTCTAATGCATAGTACAGATACAAATAGAAATCCTACATAAGTTGCACAAAGATATAAAGAATGTTATTTATCTTAGTTGTCAGTCACATGACACCTTTGCGTCACCGCTGCTCCTGTGGTGGGTGGGATACAAAGCATATGTTTGTGGTTGTTTGTAATTAAAGTCAAATAAAATAAGTAGTAAAATATCCACGACTACTTTTTACTCATTTTGTATATTATATGTTACTGGCAATTTGGAAAATGTGGTATTATACGGTTGCCAACCGTATTCTAAAATAGAGTATTGTCCTCTATATCATGTACGTATACTCTATAAAACCTTTTTTTAAGCACAAAATAAATGATACTCTTTTCTTGTAAGTCCGTACTCTTTATTCATCATCAACAGCATATAAATGTCCACTGCTGAGCAAAGTCTCTTCTCACACGGAGAAGGTTTGAGCATTAATCACCACGCTTGCTCAATGTAGGTTGGCGATTACAAACTTATAATTAGAAATTATAAGCCCAGGTTTCCTCACGACGTTTTCCTTCACCGTTTGTCAGTGGTGTCCGAATAATCTTAGAAAGTACATATAACTCGGAAAAAGTCACATTCGTACTTGCCGTTGGTATGTTTCGAAGCCGCACCCTCATGCATGAGAAGCGGGCGTCTTAAACCTCCGGGTCACCACGACATCGACTCTTTATTCACCTACTTTAAAATCTCTATTTCTTCCAAAAAAAGTTCAATCCTACTATACCTTAGGCATATACTTATTTTTATTATTCTTATTAAGTCTCTACACTCCATAAGGAATATCTACATAAACGCTTAGCTTTTTTTATTTAAAATTTATGTCATAAAAGCTTAAAGGCACTGTTACTCATTCTAATTTGAAGCTCAAAAGTATGCTTCAATTGAGCACTCGTCACTTAGTAGCATGTGTGTCGGAATGTTGCTCAAAATTAGCATGCTCATTTCAGCCATGTTTGCGAATCGACAGGCGTTCGATTTTTGAATATTTTTAAGGATGCCCAATAGAAAGCCTTTTATGATGCTATTTTTGACTGACCAGCAGTACATGTAGTTTCAGCTGAACGTTTTTAGTTACTCTATTAAGACTCAGTCTTGGTTCACGGCGCGTCGCGCAAGCGGTATCCGCCTCGCACGAGTCGAATACTCTACACGTTTGAACATGTCTAAACTGCGAGCGGGGCACATGATTCAGCGAGTATTCAGAGTCAGAACTCAGCTTAACGCCCGCAATACTCAAATTAACAGGAATACATGTAAACCTTCGTCAAAAATGAAATAAGTATTTACAATAATATACTAGATTATTATGTAGTATAGAAAAGGAAATATGGAAATTCTAACGCTACGTAGCTTAGATTTGTACTGTAATATCAGTTTCAATTGTGATAAATAGCATTAGATAAATCATACCGCGGTAAACTAGTTAGTTTTGGTAGCAACTGGTGAGATAAAATCCATTCTAAGAAAATTTTCTTTAATAATTATTTTATCTACTACATACATACATAACTCCACGCCTGTCTCCCATGGGGGTAGGCAGAGACTGTAGAACGCCAATTACTACGATTCCTACATACCTCTTTCGCTTCATCAACAGTCATCAATTTTATCATGCATGCTCGTTCGTTAAGGGTAATTTTAATTTGGCTCTTCTTTAATATATCGCCAATCTGGTCAGTATAAGTTCGTCTAGGGCGCCCTCTACCGACGGCCCCATTCATATCCGCTCTGTATACCTCTTTCGTTCGTCTTTCATCCATCCTTTCTACATGCCCAAACCATCGTAACATTCCCTTTTCAATCCTTATCACTACATCAGCTTTCAATCCACATCTTTCTCTTTTATGTCCTACGTTTAAAAATACAGACTTCAAAACCCTCTATTTTTGATGTCGTTTAAATTATATACTAAAATATTCTCCGAAGTGTAACAAACACTTTTCTGTAAACCGCATCAAAATCGGTTCAGCCAATCGCGAGATAATAGCGCACAAACATACATACATACGTTTCCCTCCTCCTTAAAAAGTCGGTTAAAAAGTACCACTTTTATGTGATCTTAGGTTGATCTGTCTGCTCGTTTACCACCTATTTCATAAAAAGACATGCATAGAATAAATAATTTTAAAACAATTAGGTTAGGTTTAGACACATATGAAGTAACTACAACGTTACAAGTGCTTATTTCTGAATCCATGTAGCCAGACTACGAATTTTATACCACTTATGAAAACATGTGACTCTTTTTCAGTGGAAACAAACATATGTAACCGTCATCTCCTGAAAGATGAGTTATACCTTTTCTGATGGTAGTTACACATGATTAAGGTATTGCAGTGATGTAATGATGTAACCTTATCATTACAATATCAAAGATATAAATAAATGGACCGTCTGCTTAAACAAAAACGCTTTCCCGGTAAATCTATCTTGATCAATTAATTAAATGAATATCTACAGCATGAAAAATTAAATGGCAATGCAAGAAAAATCCTGAAAGACGTATAATGTGCAGAAACCAAATGAAAATTGATGTCTCTACGTCGATCCCCCCATTAAATCAATTTCCCGCGTTATCAGCGGCGCCGTTGCACACCTTGCGTCACACGCTCGGTGGTGGGGATACGAAATTATCGACTTATATACGTGAACGGCGCGCGCGCCGGCCATACGGTCAGTGAACGTGCGTAGAGCGTGTTTGTTCATAAAAGATGTGTAATATGTGTACCCGTGACGTGATAGAATCGGCCCCGGCACCGGTGGCGCCGGCGCACGCACCCTCGCGTGCCTTAGACAGAATGAAGAAGAAGCACAATATTGTGACTGATCCCCACTGTTCGGAGAAACAGAAGGAGGTGGAGTACCAGCCAGACCTCCTGGCTGTGTCCACCAAGTACACCAAGATCTGCTACGACCACTTCAAGCAGGCCCTCGTTCGGGTGCAGGAGACGAAAGCATACGTGTGAGTACGGACTTTCTTTTTTGCGAGGTTATGTTGGTAGTATTCTCTTGTAGAAAATACCTGGCAGTCGAAACAGTGTTAAAATTCGTTATTAGTTCAGTCCCACTTAAGAGTCTAAACATTTTCAGCCTGAATCAAAGTTTTCAGCGTATGAAAAATGATTACGTATAGACGTTGGTTTGTGCCGGACGTAGCAAGTCGCGAATGGCGACCGTCGAGTCCGCATAATTTCCTAAATACTCCAAATTTCTTTAACTTCCTGTTTTAATATTTGCGACTACCAAGATAAATTAAAATATAAGTCACAAATAACGAGGCTTGCTACGCGAATACTTTGTAGATAGACAACTTCACAAAACCGCATTTGATATTGAATCTTGAATGAACGCCGATCTCCTTATCTAAATTAGCAATTTCACTTGACGAGAGTTGTCGAGGCTGTTCATTCTATGGAAGCATGGCCCTGCGACACTAAGCTCCGTTATCAGCAGAACTCGTGATGCATGTCACAAAGGCTTTAAGATCAACACGTTCTACTTAATCTCAAGTATCGTGATCGGTACAAAGTCCCTAGGTTAGGTTTTATTAAACAATGTACCAACTACTCGAAGCCATGTTATATTTATTATAGTAGTAGTAATGCTTATCGATGCGTAATTAACACATACATATCTCTTTTGAATATCGGTCACCGTTCTTCACTTTCACTACAAATGAAAACTATGAATAACAATAAATGACTGCTTCCATACGCAAACAGACACGAGTTTGTGTAGTGACAACTAAAGCCTCGAATTATTTCAATTTATTCCAACAGTTAGACAACGCTGACTATTTAACTGAATTGCGGAAACCTCGAGACAACCAACTAACCACAAATAGAATAGAAGGTAGCTTCGTCAATGTTAACAAAAATTCTTTACAGGACATAGTAATTGCCTAAGTAAGAAATTAACATAACATACGGAAGATTGTTTCAGTTTTTTAATCTATGAAATAAAATAACTGCGCCATTTAGTTATGAAAAAAATAAAACTGTCAATCAAATGATATGACTAAACTATCAGTTTAGATTTTAACGATAACTAACTTACATGTCGTGATAACTGTAACAGATAATACGTATTTACTGCAAAAACTTCCTAGATTTACTATCAGTACCTATATACTTGAAGTACAAGTAAAAGTAACAATACAGACCAGACATAGATTACAAGATGGCTGACCAATAATTGGCGTTTCAAAGTCTGCTTCGTATCATTTTTTTTATACAAATTGAAAATCATATCTCTTAATAAGATTTAAATTATATGCATCGTAGCTGACGCTAATAATAGTGATTTTATCAGGCTAAAGAATCCAAAGAAAGCATTGTAATGATTGCAATTAAAATGAGATACTGCAAACAAAAAAACTTAGAAATATAATAATAATTTCCGAGGTTAACACACTATATATCAAACAACTATTTATAGAAGTTTTAGCGGTAGTTTTAGAAGTGTTAATTAGGTCATAATTGATAAAATAGACACTATGATTTACCTAATAGATATACAGAAACAATCGTCATGAAATAAATCGCGTCATCACTATTACCATTGTCTGGAAACTATATTATATGCGTAAAAAATATCACGTATGTATTATGAGATTGTGAGAAATTTTTACGTCTCCATCCATCATCCATGCGGTCTTCCAAACAACGCCAAAAGATACAAATACTTAGACACTAATCTTTATCGTGTGTATGAGTATAAATATTAGTTATATGTGTATGGGATTACAAACAATGAGCATATTTATACTTAGGACACTAGTCTGACACACGTGTACCATCTAGACCTCCTAAAACACGTCTATCTTGATGACCTAATAAGGAGATGATTTGATCCACGTGTAACCCCATTCGTATCTACGAACTAGTCTTTAATTCAGATTCCCAGTTGGGTGCCAATTAATTAAAAAGTTTATAAATTAAATTAATATATAAATTAATATTTTTTATTGTACTAGTAACATTTGGACGAAGCCTTATTGCGTCTAGTTCCTTAATTCTCAGTGAAGGTTTTTACAATTCTTCCATCTTATTAAATGTAATGGAAAATGTGATTAAAAGAACAAAATAATTAACATAGAAGCTTCTTAGTTTAACTTCAGCTTATTTTTAATAGCAATAAAGGATATTTTCGTAATATCCCAATTGCCTGAATAATTCTTAAAGCGGTTTGAGAAAGTACTATAGGTTTCAAATAGAATGGATCTAGACATCTAGCCTAAACCGAGGTCAGGCTGTCTGTGTGTCACGGATACTGTTAATAGGGCTGCGGTTTTAGAAATTAAAAATAACAATAGATTATGACGTAATTAAAGCCTTTTTCTAAGGTGAAGGAATGTGCACGAAAAGTCTGATACGATTATGATAATAATTTAAAGGGTTTAACTTTCTACGGATTTGTAAGGAATTTGTTTAAAAGTAACATGATTATGTAGATTTTAATCTGTAACTACCATTACTTATCATTTGCTTCCTTTACTTTAAATTTAACCTTATCTAAACCCTTTTAAGAGCTAAAAAAAAAATGAGCATTTTTTGTACATTACAATCTTAGTTTTTACTTTAGGTACGAATGTTCTAATTTTAGTCACTTTTTGCCTTGAAACTAACAATGCTCATAGATTAGCATAGAAATGGAAACTCCTAATCATGTTTGTTTTACATTTATTATTTTTAATTAATGTTAAAACATAATAAACTACAATACACTTCCGTACACTTTTCCTATTTCTTTTTTTACAACATGTTTTTAAATATGGCGATAGGTACTATAGAATTAACTTTTATCTACGATACACCAATAGTTTAAAAACATCAAGCCAATGTACAATAGAGTTGTATAACTTATAACATATCTTATATTTTCAGAACAGAATATTCTAGCGTCCCTACAATACAATACATACACATTCAATTGTATAGGAATGTAACTGCATGATGCAACTTCGATTCATAGCCCACATAGCGACAATAGACGTTAAATAATATAAGTGATAGCCACGTATATAGGTCACTTATTAGTGTCAATACGTTTTAACATCGACCTTCGATCATGATATATGTCACAACGAAATGTACATTTGCGGTTGAACAATTTACTAACTTATTATGATATCAGCAACAAAGAGTTTCACAACGAAATAACATTGCATTTAAGAGAAAATACTTCGAAAAATGATGTTTGGTTTATGTGAAAAATCTAATAGTGACACGTAAACGGTGATAACTCGAAAATATTTTAATCAAATAAATAGTTACGGATAAGTAATAATAATCAATCTATTGACAAATTGACGCGACAATGTCAAATAGAAGAAACTATGTAATAACAAGTTAAGTAAACAATTTACACTATTAATGGCATAAACAGGAAAACAAAACAAAGTGTTCCGGCCGGTGATAACACGGAAGAAACTGTTGGACTGTGACCAGAGCACAAACGAGGTCAGCACATGTCACGAAACTAGTTTAGCTAATAAAACAGTACTAGGAATAACACAAAAATAGGGTACCTTTCGCCTAAACCACAGAAGACAGCGTTACGTTAGGAATGCCTGCCAAATAACTCATAGTTTCGTATTCTGTTTTCAACGTAACAAATAAAGGAAAATAACCCATTTAAAATACGTAAAATTTTCCACTAAACCTTCTCATTTATTGCAGAAATCGTTAAATCAAAAATAGTTCAGCACAATCAGAAACGACCAGAAGTTATTATAGTGAGTTTTATGCGTTCAGCAGCCTCTTTTTCAAGAGCTACGGGCGATGAAATCGATCTCAAAACATCGTGTACGTGTACATACGTGTCGACAGGCACGTAACTGTCCACTGCTGTTTATACCCCTCGTGATCTTGTTATTGCAACCTGCAGACTTACTGCTTCAACACGACAAAGAAAACTCACCTCTATCACTCTTACAATAAGCACGACATAAAAGGCATTGTTCATTTGCTACCGCCCACTGAATAGGGGCGCGTGCCTTCAGTTCCCACGGTTCTCTAACAATAGGAAGTTATGAAATTTTTCAATACCTGAAAACGTGGTGATTCGATTCATAAATTGATTACTTTACTGCTCAAAATATGGAAAAAGTGATCTAAACAAATAAAAAAGAAGTTCTAGTTTTCAGTGGAAATTAAATTAGTAATCATAAACGCGTGTTTGTTTATGAGAAATCTACGGAACCCGAGCGTCATTACGGTGCCACTTTGCAATACTACTGGTGCTAAATATAGACACGCTGAATCATAAACTGTTAAAAGATAAAGTTATAAATAGATTCACGTTTGTGACTCAACATTAAAAAATTAATTGGAAAGTATCTACGTACTTAAGATTACTGTTATCTTTCCGAGACATTATGTTCATAGAATATTAGATTAATCATAATATAACGTCAAATTAGGAAAACTGCTTAGATTATTCAATCTACTCTATATGCCATTACAAATTACAATGATATTAAAATCACTTAGCTGTTGCTTGCATACCCGTAATATGATCGACGCTTACATTGACGCAGGTAAGCACTAAAGGTTTAATTTATGTCAAAAGCCTCGTGTCCTCTATGATGAACGTACGTAACAGACATTACATAATTACAAGTAATTAAACAATTATGTACAATATTTTGTAGTACTTCAATCACATGACTATCTATGACGTATAAAAAAATATTTCTCATCTTTGTACTTCAAAGTGTAGGACTTAAGATCTAGATAACTTAGTACCTAAGCCTAACTGATCTTATCGACAAATGCTAGTGACATATTGTCTTTGATTGTCCTTTGAGCGGAAAATCTTTGGAATATTTAAGCACAACAATTGATCACTGAAGGAAGACTTGTAGGGAAAAAGAAAATATTTATTTTACAATACGTCGATAAAATATTTCGCAACACCACACAATACGAGTCTAAGAAAATGCGATCGATCAACATTATC